TGATATTTTTCTCCTTTGTATATATGTCATAAATAGCTGATTTGGCGCGCAGGAGTTCTCTGTCTGTTCCCATCATTCTTATATTATTGTCATTTGTCATTCGTTTGGTCTATGGAATCTTCATAAGTCTGCGCAAGACCCACATTTCAAATGCTTCCAGTCGTTACATTATTCTCGTTCCCATTGTCCAAGATTCCGTGCCGTATAACAATAGAATAAACGTATGTTATCATGGTATCGAATATCCAGTGACAGGACAGAAAGGTTTTGGGTAATCCAGCACGCGAGATACTTAAACTTTCTCATCTCTTCTTTTGGAGTACCGTATATTAGTATATTGGCTCATAAGTTTTGACTTCTGATGATGACCATCACCTTTGTTTTTAATATAGTTATTGTCAGGCCATGTTGATCACGTGATTCTACAAGTTGTTCAGTTCTTGTGAGCCTTCTGATGGATCTGCAAAGAGGACCTTGTCGTCTGCATAGCGTATATTGTTCTTGTATATTATGCAACAAGTGCGGTAAACGGTATTTGGCTCACGAGTTTATTTGACACGAGGGGAGCGCAGCGGAGCAAGTGTTTAATAAACGACTGACTTAAAAAGTTTACCGAACGTGTTGCATACTATGCTTTTTCTACGACCGTTAGTTTTTGGGTACATTTTCGCATAACAACACGAATACATTCATACATGACCCTCAGAATTGACAAACGTCAAAATTCAAGTCGTGGGAAATATCTCCGAAAATATCCGATTGCTCCCGTGGGGAACGAAACTGACGTGGTAAAATGACGGGAGTAAAAAAATATTTTACCGTTCACCTTCATACCAATTTCGCTGTTTTCTAATGCTTTTTGAAATATATATTCGGGGTAAGTGTTAAATAAAAGAGGTGAGAGAATACAGCCCTGTCACACTCCTCGTCTTATTGTTGTTTCTGACGATAGCGTGTCACCAAACCGAACGAAACCAGTCTGCTTCCAATATAATTTTTTTATTAGTTTAATGTCTTCGGAGTCCGGTCTCGGTTTTTGGAGTGGATGTAACAGTGTTGAATGCTTGATGCGCCTTTTCATAGTCAATGAATCAAAGGTACACGTCCTTTCTCTTCATTTTTCAAGTAATACTGTTAATCCAAAAAGTGCTCCCTAGTCCGAAGTCCTAGTCTGAATTGAAATTGTTTGGGATTTATATTTTGTGCGCATTTCAGATAAATACGATAGATACGTTACGATATTTTTAGCATAACTTTCAGAGTATGGCTCATTAAACTAATTAATGTGAAATCGGAGCACTTTTTTGTTGCATTTTTTTGGGATAAGGTACAATCTAATACAATACAAATGTTTTATTGTATATATTACAAAGAAGATTTAGGCAATTACCTTACATCTTCCATATTGCTATATACCTTTAGAACATCAAATGGTAATCATAACATTAGTTAGCGATTCGTTAAATTGATCCCCTGCACATTTTTAAATCCACAAATAGAGAAAGACAGAATATATATAGCTAAAATTTTATTCAGTAATGGCCCTAAATAAGAAGAATAGAGGTTGTAAATTCAGAGATATTAAAAATATTTTGCTCTTAGATTCACACTATGATATTCGGACGTTTTACTAAGCGACGCCATTGCAACGTATAATTATCAATTGTTGTGTGAAAAATTAGTAGCTAATCAGAGTCAATAATACTCAGTTTCATCAAAATCCACAGAAGAATCGTTAAGATTTTGTTCTTGACGCAATGTAATTTCTAAGGCAGACATTTTGGGACACACGTTTATATAATCTTCTATGCTTGAATTTTGTTTAACAATGCAACAGTAGAATTACAGCCTATCATTAAGTAACACAATTACCTTCTACATAGAGAGATATAGTACTTTGCTGTAATATTACGCCACCCTGTATATACACACAAAAAGAACTGCGTTTGTAGAATAAATATGATTTCAACCAATAATTTTGTTTATTCTACAAACTGTTTACCTAGTAGGTTATCTGATGTTAAAGAAAATACCTACCAGTGGCCTTTATGCACCATTGGAACTGAATATTGTCAAAGAAGAAAAAGTTATGCCACTGCTTATTCTGAAAATAAAATAAAATGCATAGCGTTTTTGATATCTTTATTTAATTCAGGGTAAATTTGTCGTTCAATTCAAATATTCAAAATTCTACTAAGGTCGTAAATAACGTGAAATAGTTGAAGGATTATGTCCAATTAAATGCCATTATCTTACTTTTTTTTCTTATTATTACAAGACCAGTGTGAGAATATTATTACACCACTAGAAATGGAATTTCAATTGCATATAGTCCGTCGCATTTTAAAATGTTTTTCAATCCTGAGTTGCTCACAGATCAACCAGCAGACGAGGAAAGCATTATATAAGATAACAACAAATTCAAATATTCAGGCGGACTGCCGTTAGTTTAGTTAGGATATTTCTTTATCATTTTTTAAAATTAAGTCAGTAGTAGTAGGTTAATGAAGGACCGGTTTACCAGGGTATGTCAAAATTCAGTACCCAGATTTTTGAGACGTACTTGAAATAAAAGTAAGACCAGCACCTTTTATAAAAAAGTTTTATTACATTTCTTATTTTATACATTTACTTTAAGGAAACTTGTAATTTAGATTAAACAACCAATGAGCAACGTTTTTATTTCATTACAAATTTGAATTGAAATTTTTTAAGACCTAATTAGAATTTATTTTTTCCCCATAAGAGAGGCAGATACGAATAATTTACAAAAAGACCAAAAAGTTGCTAAACAAAACAACAAAAACTCATTTCGCATTTTACAGCCTATCAGTGGCGCACCGCAAGAAAGTTCTTGGGGTATGAGCGCCAAAAAATAACCTTTGTATAGAGCATTCCCGAAACTTAATGGCCTATTAGAAGTATATGGAGAATGGAAAAAGATACGCACTTAAAAATTGGGTTGCGACCATATTGGTTCGTATTTTTGTCAAAATCTGAGAGGGGTGGGTTGGGTTGGTTAGTTTAATTAATTTGGAATTATATCCTTTTGTCTTTAAAATTCGCCTTATTAACATGTATTTAAGTTTGATATTGTCTATGGCTGTATTTTTAAATATCCCGTTTAATTTACATTTATATATTTTGTATATTTGTGTAATTTTGAAAGCAATCTATATGCGACCAATTAATTAAAAAATTAAATATAGTTAATTATTTACATGAGAGGTGTGTTCTGTCAAATTTTCTGAAAAATAATATATGTTACATAGAAAATTTAAGAAGTTTTCATAAAATCTAAAGATGTAATAATATAAAAGACATTCCATTTAAAAAATGAAGTTGGTGTTTGAGAGGAGTAGCTGTGACAACTTTCAATGCTACAAATATTTTAGAAATGGAGATCATATGTCTGTGACCGAAATTTTAATTTTTCGTATACTTGCATCATCGAGTTTGGGCCACTCTGTATATACATATTTCAACTGAATGAACGAACTGAATTTTAAAACTCATGCACTATATCGCGCTATTTTACAAAATTTTCTAAGAACTTGTTTTTCAAAATTTCTTTAAAAAGATTTGAACTGAAGTGTGAAGTGTGATGGATGTACATTTTGCGTTTTCGTAACAGTAGATATCGAATACGACATATTTTTTTTTTAATACGGACTGAACACAGCACCCGTACTAAACGTGATTAAAAGCGGGATACGCTAAACCCCAACCGCTAACCTCGGTCGCCGCCAAAATGCTATTCAAATAGTCAATCAATTTCGGATTTAAGTTACGCGGCAGCGGCAAAACCTTTATAAATGCAACAACCAGTTGGACTAATATTCCCCGGTTAATTTTCGTCCCGTAAAAAAAATAGTTAAAACAATTTCGATGCGCATTATCAATGCAATTTCAAATCGAAATATCGCGGCGCGTGCACAATAAACAAATCGCAATCAGCCGGAATCCACCAACATCTCGATAAAACGGTAACGTTCGAGGTGGTTGTGGGTGGGATTCGATATTGCAGCAAACATTCCTTCGGGGGACGCTTCATCACTGACGCATTCAAAGGAAATAATTAAGTCCAGTTATATGTATATAAGCGGTCCATAATGCCGTGATAATAATTATGCCTGCGATTTGGTTTCTGGATCCTGACGTTCGGCGTTGCCGGTGTTTCCGTTAATTCCGTTTTCGATCTCTGCGGTTGACGGCCAAAGAGAATCGTGTATAAGGATGTGCGTATTGCAAACTGCGGTTGAACGATGAGGCTGGTGCGCTGTCCTAGCGGTGCATTAAATTGCGGGCGAGTATACAGGTTGTTTCAAAAAAGATGCTCCATTTTCCAAGATTGTTAATATTTAAAGAAAAATCTGCATATGCATCGGCTTGACTATTAGCATGTAGCCTTCGACACATGGATATTCGGACCCGCCGTTTTTTAAATATTGAACAACTCGTTCCGTTGGAAAAGAAGCATTCCCGGACCTATGTTTATATAAAATATATTCTTTTTTTTTTTTTGGATGACGAATCTTTGACCGAACGTGGGCCCGCGTTCTTTCAAACGTCCTGTATAGCTAGCCCTAAAAGAAACCTTTGAATATAATGTTCTTTTTCAAACCATGGTAAATTAGTAACTCGAATCCTAGATGTCAAAATTACTCATAACCAAAAAAAAAAAATTACGGAATATATATAAAAAAGGTATATAATTCTGTTTAAAATGTATATTTATTTTATTATTTTCAGTTCTGTCAAATTTCACGTGGATTGAAATGTTTCATTTTACTGTCACATTTAACGAACCCTAAAAATTTTAGTCGATTTAAAAACCGTAACAATTTGTGGAATGCAGTGTGGCACAAAAATATGAACAACTCAAATTGGCCATGGAAAATTCACGAGGAGAAATTATTTTCCTTGGTTTCATGATGGATAAATAAAACTAATTTTTTTAATTTGTGTCTTACTTAAGCCGTCTTTTTTTGTTTTATCAGGTTAAACTAGAACAAAATGTGGGGAAACCGTCCCGCGTGATCCATATCCGCAACATCCCTTCCGACGTCAGCGAAGCGGAAATTATTCACCTGGGGATGCCCTTTGGCCGGGTGACGAATGTCCTCGTACTGAAGGGCAAAAACCAGGCGTTTTTGGAAATGGGCGACGAGGCAGCCGCCACATCGATGGTCTCGTATTTTGGTGGATGCGTCGCTCAGCTCCGTGGCAGAGCGGTTTACGTGCAATATTCGAATCACAAAGAATTGAAAACGGACCAGACCCACTCAAATGCGGTAAGTGAAAGAATACCCGTCTCACATACATGAATCGAATAACTGCCACTAAAAACATTGCGCAATTTTTTTTCGTACATGTATAACAATGGCTTAATCAAAATTTAATTCTTAACACAAATAAAACAAACATAGTAAGCTACAATTTTTTTTTATTTTTTTGCGAAAGTTCTTTATGATGTAGGGTGAATAGCTACTAGAGATATAGAGGGCCCGCCTATATTGATAATACGGGAACTTATGAAGCAACTATAAAATAATAATTCAGAAGGTCCATTCAACAAGCATATGTCCAAGATTTAAATTGTCGTTTTTAACCAATGACCTTGCGACATTGAACAACCCAACATGGTCGCTGACCCATTGTGAATAAGTTTGGATGCGGCATATTTTTCTCAAAATTTGTCCAGATCCCATTAAGTGCGTGGATATCGCTATATACAAAGAAAATGGCGTAAAGTTCAGGTTAGTGGGTGAAAACTTCGGTACATCTTTGCCGTTGTTTTGGTACATTTCATTTCCAGATATGAAATTATAATTTATTATGAAATTATAAAATATATTTTATATTTTGGAGAGTTGCTATTCAAAAACAAGCAACGTGTTGCTTGCTTCATTTGCTATTTAGTATACTTAAAAAAAAACGTTTTGCACTCCTAAATGTGACTCTCAATTATAAATTGAAAAATTTGGAAAAGTTTATACAGTGTAGTATATTTCAAAAACGAGGAATGTTTCATATCAAGTTTCTATTCATATATTTTATGTGTAGAATTTGCAAAGCTCCCTGCCTACTACATAATTTTCAAATTAATCCTTTTTCCAAAAAATATACCAGCAATAGTTTCAAAAAGCTTTCAAAATTTAAATGCCCATTTTTGTATATACACGGTGTATTAGTATAGCAGAACTTCAACAATCGGTAATGTATGAAATCGACAACATGAGCTAAGGTAATTTTAGTTTAATTTGTTTTTTTTTATCTTGGCAATCGCCCAGTAAGTAACGTACCTTCATCGAAAAAGAAACTGCTCAAAAAGTATTTCTCACATGAAAAATTGTCCAGAGGCGTTTTGTTAATGTTATATTAATTTGTATCATTTTAAAATACTACAAAAAAGCAAAAACCCATCACTTTTTGGTCTCCACAAATACTTGAAATGTCATATTAACAGCTAATACGTGACAATATATCATAAAATATTTTTAAGTTGTAGATTAGATTAAGATTATATTTATATACTTCCGCTTAGTTTGAAATGTGTATCTCGAAAATTATACTTGGTTTGACCTGTTTTTATATAAATTTTTATATAAATTTTTTATACTGACCTTAATAGTACCGTTAAGCTCTTGCTGCAATCAGCTGTGAGCGCTCCAAAATAATTACGAATTTTTAGCTATATAAAATAATATAAATATCAATCTAAATGAAATCATTCATTCAAGATTCATTCACCATATAATCGAGAAAAATTTCACTCGGGCTTCTTAAATCTTGGACGTACTGCATACAGGTTTTGCCATTTTTTTTCCTTATTTGAAGACATAATAATGGACCAGCAAAATTATAATAACTACTACGTGAAAAGAACGGTTGGCCAAAGCCTCAACGAGATTACACTTACCATATTAATAATTTACATAGATCGCCAGACATTGCAAAGTCCACTCCAAGTCCGGCAATAAATAAATATAATATTATCTAGGTGGCAGTAATTCACAGACCTCGTCAAGACGATACCACATTACGCGAAGGCTGTTTATGCGTGGATACTGAAACATATGCGCCACCCCCATAATCAACGGCGAAACTTCGGCCGTAAACTTGGTCCTTTGCGGGCTTCACATCACGAATTATAGTCTCCTTATGTATGATATTTACATCCTCCTCCCTTGTACTTCGAGGAATTACTTAATTATGTGGTGTTGTAGTACTAGGTGACTATACTCGCATCCTATGCTTTGTTTTGCGGTGTTAACGGCCATATTGGTTTGTGGCGAAGATCCGGGAACAGGCATTACCCGCAATCGCGAGAGACACGTCTCAAACCAATGAAATAAATGAAGAAAATTAAGATTTTGTTTGATTCTTTGGGATTTTCCTAAAATATTTTGAAAGGGAACTTTGTGCAGTTATTATTTTCTAGAAATCGCATCAACACAAACTGAAAGCCAATTACACTATATGCATGTATTAAAAATTTATAAATCTTAGAAGGAATAGCAAGATACCCAAGGAACAAGGAAAAGTTTAGAATTAGCAATGGGCTCTGTCTGTCAAAGACCAGTTGCGGAATTAAATCGTTCATTTTAAGACAAAAATTAGCACTACTGCATTTTCGGCATCTAGCGCCTTTTTTGATCTGATTGAGATTGCTAACGTGTATTATTACGCATAAGCATTTTAATGCTGTTAGTATTCAATTTTGTTCATTGTTGACTTATTATTACTTTGCAAATTTGAAGGATATGTTTTTAAAATTAAAATATTGATCTTCGTATACTACCTAGAGCTGTTCCTGTTCAGTTTCGTGAGACAATATGGCATTTTCTGCTAATGTTGTTTTTTTCATTTTTGTTACCTTTATCTGCAGTTTGGAGGCTACTTACGCTCATTACAAGTTGCTTATTTATAAAAGCCCAACGTTTCTAGTCCACCAACAATTCCTAATACACTTCGGGGGTTTGTACGAACATAATTTGCATCAGCCAACCGAATTCTTACGATATCACTAATTTTGAAAGATGAAAATTATTCAATAATTCAGCATTCTCTTTTGTAGCTACTCTGCAAAAATCCCTTCTTGCTATTCAGTCAATGCCCAAGAAGACGGCGTACAAGGTTGTTGATCAACCACAATGGTTTTTTGAGTGTGAATAATGCTTTCATCTAGCCTCATTCTAGTTTAACGCCAAAAAATGTATATAAATGAGAATGGTTATTTAAAAAAAGTAGTAATTTGTAACCATTTTTCCATCACAAGACGCACCCATTCGTCTTAATTAGAACTAAGTCAAAAAAATATTTCATTTCACCTTTTTCCTTGTTTTAAATAAAAAACATCTCTTCCAAAAAAATAAGCCTGACCTGTTATACTTTTTACAAAACTTCTGGATTCCTCCTGTGTCGTTTTTTGCTGATTCGAACTTGCTAAACTGACCTAAATCAAATACAAGACGATGAATTTTTTCCATGTAAAGATTGTGTTCCAAACGTTTAGAATTACTATGTTGATTTAACGGTACAGGCTGGGCCAAATTCGATATTCTGTGGGGGTTTTTCTTATTTCTAGCAGAGATAATCAACAACGAGTAGTTATATCCTGGACTGGATTTTTGAGCACTAATTCAAATATCAAAACCGATACGTGTTGTATCATTGCATTGCGTTTGCTGGGGGAGTTTGCATTTTAGGAAATAGTACAATTTTATTTGTGAAAATTCTGTTTTTTAATAGAAACGGTTCCAATAAACGTTTTTTTGATCGCCTTTTTCGAAAACATCTAGATATCAAGATATTAGACCTCAAAATTGGTTTTTTACTTATGTTATAAAGTTCTCCTTATATTGATTGTTCATTGAACGGATTTTTTAAGGTCGCTTTTAACAATTTCAACTTTTTTAATCTCAATAAGTGATAATCCTACAGACCTCCATTTTTATGTTCTTCTAGAATTTAAATAAAATAAATTGGAAATATTAACGATTATCGCCATTCGATCAAACCGAAGCATCTGAACACTTGTATTTATCTTGGCTTTCGCCCGATTCCATCCCCATCCAATTTGGTTCAAAGGGACGATTACAGAATAATTTCAGTCAGCAATATTTTCCGTTATATTTTTTTAATTCTGGATTTGTAATTACGAACGAATTACAACTACTACTTTCAAAAGTAACTTTCAACGTCGACGTGTTTGCCTTTAATTAAGACGTGTTTCGGATCGAGAGCCTGTAAAGTCAAGCTAAAAGTCCTAGATTGATTTTAATTACTGCTGCCTCTGTGTCATTACCGTTTCTTTGAAAGATGAATTTAGGGATATTTGAACAAACTTTGTTGATTTACATTTTAAAACTATCGATATCCGACAGTGCACTATATATTTTTTACCGATCGGTAAAAACGTAAAAATCCAAAATCACTTTATTGTTAAGTTGGAACCTCGATAAAACCTTTGTGGAAGAACACTAGCTATTTCACCTCCTTGAGTCAAACTTAATATCTACTATATATCGTGATACCAACAAGAAAGTAATCCATTGAAACAAAGGTAGGATTCCTATTAATTATTACATACCACTTTAATATATTTATATAATTAAAGCAGAACAAAAATTAACTGGAATTTTATTAACATCACCATCAAATCGGTTATATCAATATCCAAAACTACCTGATTGGAAGTGAATAGCAAAAAAAAATCATAACAGGGCCTTGTTCTCTATTAAAAAAATAATGTGTATGTGATGTATCAGGTAGTCCAGAATTAATCTACAGTGACTGCACTACATACTACTACATACTCCCTACAGATTTCCCAAAAGTTCCTCATAGTATGTTTTTTTTATGTAAAAAGTTAAACAAAAAACGTTAGCTTTTCGTATGATTATGAAAGTCTTTATTTGTCTCATATGTTCATATCGATGCAAAAAAATCACTTTCCAGTCCTTTCTTTTTACAATCACTTAATCTCTTAAAATCGCAAAGAAACAATGCAAAAAACTAGACAATTTGTTCCGTCAAGCTTTGGCTATGACTTGAACTAACTGTATATTCCTTAGAACCTGTAAGAAACAATAGAGTTCTAACGCGGGGCCAACCTTTGATTGGTGGAACCGATGACGTCACTGTATTGTTTTTGCTCGTTTCCTTATTATATAATATCATTCAAGTAAATGTTCAAATTACTTGTATTGCATTGCATTATTGTGTTGCACTTGCATTATAACTATAAAGTTGTTCGGAAAATCATTTCGTTTTTTCCCGTCAGAGGACT